CAATGAATTGTGAAAGAGAGGATGTGTCAGGAGAGGTCTGATTTTTCTATTTAATAGCTCTGTAACCAAACAAAATTGAAGACTATAAAAATTATGGTTTGTCTGAGCAATAACGATTTTATTGAGAGTAATTTATGTTTAATTTCATACATTTTTGAGGGGTGATGGATAGAATAGGGATGATGACATGCCAATATGTCACGTGGGTCACACTATTGGAAATTCAGGATTTTTTATATATATTCCCTTGTAGAATTAAGAACTTAACTTCTATACTATTAAAATATAGATTATTAGCTAAAATTTAATGCTATTCTAATTGGTATAACATAAACAAAAAGTAGTATAATAAGACACTACAACCTTGTGTCATGTGCAGTAAAGGATACCTGGGGCAATAGTGTTAAACAGAGTTTCAAGTCACTTTGTCTAACTGTGCATGCTCTTCAAGTAGTGATGACTTTTTTCTCTTTTTTTTGTATAACCTAGTTAGTTTTTTAATTTATTACATTCTAGTTAATTTTGTTTAAAAAGTTATAAAACAATACATAAATAGAAATTTTGCACTTACCCTAGCCCTAAGTTTGTTTGCACCTGACAGGTGCATGGTTTTGTAAGCCTTCTTTTTTTAACAATGTTTGTCCAAAAAATATATTAGACACTAAAACAGAATGTCCCAAAACTAATATAGGTTACTTGGCTTTTTTAGTAAGAGATAAATAAGGAAAAAAAATTCCATTACCCTTTGGATCATGAACTTTAGTCTATGTACATCAAGATCCACTTCCAAAGTAGTGGCTTTCACCATGGACATAAAACGGAATACTGTCAGAGTTGTTTAGTTCACAAATATGTACCATTGACAAGTAAGCATGAGTAACTACGTAATTTCAAAAGTATGAAGCTTTAGCAAGAGTTTCTATGGTGGGTGTGATAAATATTGTTAACATTTCAGAAAATCAAGGAGGTGAAAGGTTATTTTATATTCTAGTCTATCAATATTTATATCTTACGTTTTTGTTTTGGTAGACTCTCTGAATCCCATGTAAGGGAAGAAAGAAAATCTAAAAAGGAGAATTTGGAGAAGAGACAGTTGCATGGTGTATGGAAGTGAAGAATGGGAATATACTTAAATATCTCTTTTTTTAAAAAATTAACAAATTATAATTTAGATAATATGAAAAGTTAAAACATTAGTAATAAGGCAGTGTAATAAAATTTTGAATGTAACTGTGTAAAAAGGATGTGGCATGTGTTCCTATCTGAAAAATAACTCAAATATAACTTTAAACCTACTTACAGGAGCCAAAGTGGAATTCCAGGATGCTCTTGTATTGTTCAGTGAAAAGAAAATTTCAAGTATTCAATCCATCATTCCAGCACTTGAGCTTGCAAATGCACAGCGTCGCCCTCTGATTATAATTGCAGAAGATGTTGATGGAGAGGCTCTGAGCACTCTAGTTCTAAACAGGTTTGTCTCATTTTCCTTCTGTCATAATTGTTCTGAATACTTTATGCAGTTTCATTGTTTAATCTCTCTTCGTTTTTTTATAATAATACGGTCAGTTGAATGTAATCTGTTGTTTGCATTAAGAATAATCAAAGCTTTTAACCATAAAACTTCAAAAATTGCTCGTGTCACGTTTTGTTGTACACTATTTTTCTAATAATGCACATTATGAAGTAACTATATGCAAAGGTGGGGTCAAAGTGTGCAAGCTACATGACATTTTACAGAGTGCCATTCAACATGGTATTATGTATTTTAGTTACCTAATATTCACTTTACACTACATTGCTGAGTTAGTAATAGTTTGTGGTATAGGAGAGTAAATACTAGATACAATATATGGGGATACTGAAAAAATAACTTTAGATATGCATTTGGGAGTTTCTATGGGTTATACAAATCACACGATGGAGAAAAGTAATATTATTCTTCATGTGAACAACTCCCTACGCTCTGACTTATCAGAGTCTAAATCAGGCTAACTTTTTAAATTCAGACATCTTAAATGCAAATATTTTAATAACACATCTGAAATTTTTTGTATAACACTTTTACATTTTACTAAAAACTAGTCAAAATTTTTTTTCTTCAATATGGGGTTAGTTCATTTGCTTAACATGTAAAGATGTATTTTGTTTTTAACCCCATTATGAAATTTGGCAAGCTTTTACAACATTTACAACTCTATTGTACACAAGAAATCAAATTTTCAATTAAGTATTGGACACAGGGTTGAAATTGTGAATCTGTTGTTTTTCAGATGACTCAATTCATATTATATTTACTTATTGTGCTACTAAGGAATCAATATAGCAGTGGGAATTAATATTTAAAGGATTTACTCTTGGTAGGCTAGTGAACTAACCGAATGCAATCTAATGAACTGCATAATTGAAAGTTACTTTTTAGGTATAAGTCAGAAAAGAAAAATTTGGTAAGATAAAGAAATTCTTCATGAATTAACTTGTCTTCACGAAATACTTAATACTGAAAAATAAAGTGCAACTAAGCATTCTGTAGAAATTGAGTGTGGTAAAATTCTCACAATTAAGAATTTGGTTATAGGTTAAAAGTAGGTCTCCAGGTTGCAGCAGTGAAAGCTCCTGGATTTGGAGATAACAGGAAGAACACTATGCATGACATGGCTGTTGCTACTGGTGGACTTGTGTTTGGTGATGATGCTAATCTTATCAAAATGGAGGAAGTTCAATTATCAGATTTGGGAGAAGTTGGTGAGGTTACCATTACAAAAGATGACACCTTGCTGCTGAAGGTATATCATTTAATCAATACTGAAGTGCAGTCAGATATATTTTAGTAAATAACACAATATGAATTGTTCATTTAGGCTAGTTTGTATTCATTCTTGGAACTTCTAGTATTTTACTTTATCATTTATTGGTTAAAAGTAGGTACAAATAAATTTTCTTACTAAGTAGTAGCAGTTGTTAACAATCAGCTGTTGAGAAATGATTCAAAAGATGAGATCTTCAGCTTCATCATAAAATGCAATGCTGCGAAATTTATCTATCATGATATATCTGGTTGTACATCTTTATTAACCAACTTTGGGTACCCTTTCTACATATGCTGTGCAATTCTCAGCTAAAAGATATTTCTCTTAATTGCAGGCCTAAACTACCACCCTTCCCTCCCTCCCCATGCTTCAGCGAGTTGTCCTGTTGAATTTATCTCTCTAATAAAAGTTATTTCTCATTTAAGTTTAAATTATCTGTAAATCTCAATAGAATATAGTTGAAGGCCTAGTATGCAGTTAAATGAAATATAGGGAAATGACTTGTTACTATAAGGAATAGCCTACTTACCTGGACTTTCAGTTGGTATTAGTTTTACTTAGATCTTTTTCTCTTCTCTCTCTCTTCTTTTTTTTTTTTGTGAAAAAGTATACATCACATCTAAATTTATTATAGACTGAAGAGCATTGAAGATGCTCTGAACATATATGCCACCAGGTGAGACTGTATAAACTTTTATGGTGTTCTTTTTTTTGTATTTCAGCTTATTTTTTATGTATTTGTGTTTAGTGTTGTACAGTGTTTTCTGTTTTATTGTTTAGGAGAAAGGGCTATCTTAAAATAGATAAACTTGTTCACTACGTAATGTAATTAAATATATTAAACAAGATAAAATAATTGTGAAATACGTTTTGTACTAACCAAAACAATGCTCTTGCGTTAAATGATATTCCTGTACTATTTCTAATCTTTCTTTTTTTTTCATTATTATTATTAACTTGTGCAGGGGAAGGGAAAGAAGGAAGATGTTGATCGAAGAATAGACCAAATTAGGGATGAAATTGATATGACAAACTCTGATTATGAGAAGGAAAAGCTGAGTGAAAGACTAGCAAGGTTGGCCAGTGGTGTAGCTGTGTTAAAGGTACTTACAGTTAAAAATTTCTTTTTTTACATCTTGTATATGAAAATTGTTTATTTCATGATGTTTAGTTTTATTTAATTAACAATGTTTTAATTTATTTGTTCAATAACATAATTAACTGTTAATAAATCAGATAATGCATTTCATAAACTCAGTTTTTCGTGAATTTTCAGGCCTGGAAATTAACTTTGAAATTTCATGTTTACAGGATGCACTTGATTTTAAACAAAAATAAAAAAATTCTACGGGTACAAAGATGAAATAAATATGAGTGATCACAAATGTGAAGAAAAAATGTCCTGGAAAATTATTTGTAATCATTCCAGGTTGGTGGTTCCAGCGAAGTAGAAGTTAATGAAAAGAAAGACCGTGTCAATGATGCATTAAATGCTACTAGAGCAGCTGTTGAGGAAGGCATTGTAACAGGTGGTGGAACAGCTCTTCTTAGGTGTTTGCCCATTTTAGATCAGTTACAAGGAGACAACAGTGATCAACAAATAGGTAAACATACCAAAATGGCTGCATTTTTTTTATTATTATTATCATTATATACATTGCTTTGCATAATTTGGCTTTTTTTTTCTTTCAACGGATAGTTTATTTTAAATTTATTTCCCTATTAGAAATACTAATGGACGAGTTCTTATCTCACAGTTAGAAATGAAACCAATGACTCTTCTTGTCGGGGTATTAAAAGTATGTACATTTTTACAATTGTTTTCAGGTATTGATATTATCAAGAAAGCATTAAAAATGCCTTGCAAACAGATTATAGAAAATGCTGGAGTAGATGCTGCAGTAGTTGTTCAGAAGGTTATAGACTCTGACCCTGATGTAGGATATGATGCTTTGAATAACAAGTATGTCAACATGATCGAAGCAGGCATAATTGATCCCACAAAGGTAAGAATTTCAAAGTTAGCATTTCTTGTTCAGTTAATATCCATAAAAAAAATTGCTTATTACTCTTTTAAACTTAATTATGGAATATATACAAACATTCACGTTTTTACTTTTATTTCAGACATTTACAATATTTTTGTTGAGAAATTGGGTACATACATTATAGAGGATGATATTAGTTTATACCATGATCAAAAGATAATTGCTCTGATGTTGAAGTATTAAATTGTTGTTACAGAAGACCATCTCAGCTAGGCCAGAACACAACAGTTCTATATATAGATTTACTTTTTCGTTTTTTTAATATGAAAACTTGTGAAGAAAGATGTATGGAAAAGAGCATTACATTTTGAATCTTACAGCTATAACAAAAGTTAAACTGGATTCAATGTTTCATTAGCCTAGAAATTTTAAAAAATAACTTTATTGTGGCATTTTCATTATTCATTTGTAACAAACAAAGTAATTACTTAGGGTAAAAACAGAATTGTGATTTAATAAAAGGCTATAACAGCAATCCAAAAAGACCTTAGGATTTTTTGAGACACAATTATTAATCTAATAAACTCAACTGTTTGCATTGATTTGATTAAGAGCCTTGAATTATTATTTTTTGTTGTTGTTATTTTAGGTTGTAAGAACAGCACTTATGGATGCTGCTGGAGTTGCATCTCTTCTCACAACCGCTGAGGCTGTTGTTGTAGAACAACCAAAAGAAGAGAAAGGTGATCCAATGGGAGGCATGGGTGGAATGGGGGGTATGGGAGGTATGGGTGGAATGGGTATGTGAAACAGTGCAACTGCTAAAAAAAATAATGGATAGTCAGAGCTATCTCCTTTTGGTGATGCATTTTAGTTTCAGATTATTCATTCTTACACTGCAATGATTATTGGTTAAAACTTAGTGGAATAAAAGAACTCAACTTCAAGTTCCACATGGAGCATTTTTTATCCTGATGTGAGATGAAATGTTAGCTTATGGGAAATGTGAGTGAATAACTCGCATCATTTGACTAGTTTTTTTTTGTTCTTGTATGATCAGTCATTGCTCTGGGAACAAATCCATCTTCTGAGTCATTGTTATGGTAGATTAAAACATTTTCAGTCATTTTTCCAATCATGATGTAAACTGATACTCTTGTTCATTTCCACTGCTTAGACATTCATGTAAACTAGTTAAATAAAGTTTTTTGACAAAGTAATTTCATGTTCTTGTTTACTTATACTTAATACTGCCAGATTTGAATAAGCAGTTTGTAATGAATCAAAAACTACAACTAGAGGAAGCTTTTTTTTTCTCTCGTTTTAAAGTTCAAAAAACGTCTCAATAAAAACCTAATTTTTAGTCCACTCCATATTCAATTCATGTTCTCTCTCTTTGTTTACATATCCACAATCAAGGATGTATTGATAATGTATTCATCTTCTAACAGCTGCTTCTCTTAACATACTGTCAAGAGATTTTAACATTTTAATGTGGAATTTTCCCTAAGAATGGAGAATGACATGGAAATAAACATGTGGTAGGCACATCACACCCACTTAAACGGTGACTGGTAATACGACTGGTGTTATAGGTTTTAGCATTACCATTCATTAATTCTACTGCACAGACTTTTGGTGCTTGATCCAATTTGTCCATGGTTACACCATATGCACATTGAACTCGTATACCACTAAATAGGTATTTTTTTGATGTTTGTCTTTAACCCTTTCATTGCGGCTGAGACGTATATTTCCTAGTCCATCCGAGCCACAGTGAAAAAAAAAAAAGAGTTAAAAGTTGAAAGGTCTTTTTAACCAACTATTTTTGGACACATTACAACTGACTTTTGGATATAGCTGTTTGATGATTTTCATAAATTTCTTCTTAATCATGTATAGGAATAGTGCATAGAGTAGGGTTATGACAAAAAACAATATTCTTTGGAACAGATGGGGTATTTAGTTTCACTTTTGGTGTGGGTTATTCAACCCTAGAATGCCAGAGTTAAATTTTCAATCATTAAAAACAGGTGGTATGGGGTCGTAATGACCCCCACATTGGTATTCAAGGGTTAAGAATGCCAACAGAAAACAATTTATTCCAAGCATTTGTTTAATGTTGTCAATTTTTCCATCAAAAAGGTTTTAATTTCCTTATCTTTTGATATAATAGGATTTTCCTTTGAAAACTGAAAGTGTTAAACTTTCAAAATATGAATAATTGTCAGTGAAAATGGACTTGAAACACTGGTGGAAAGTATACTCTAGTTATTTAACTAATTCAGCACAGGCTCGGTCCCTGGGACTGACCTCGTAACCATTTCGTGCTTATTATAATTTTCATACTATAACTTTTAAGTTAATATGCATATGTTAACGAAATATGGCAGATTATCAGTAAACATTACAATGCTTTTATACTCAAAATATTAATTTTTTTTATTAAATCTTAAGGTTTGTATAGCAATGTATTTCTAGTGCCTTTTTTTTCTTTTAGCATGTTGCCTATCCAACATGTAAAGTAATTTTCATTTTAAGATTAAAAATACTTTTGTGCATCACAAAATTTTGAAATTTTACATGCAAAATCTTTATAATGTTGAGATAGTTATCAAACGTTTCTTAAGAAAAAACTTTATATTTTATGTAATTTTCGGTAAGTAATCTATGTGTGGGTTCAGTAGATTTGAATGATCTTGCAACCACCATAAAAATTAGGAAATAAACATAAATTATGCCTCTTTCATTCTAGAATGAACACAAATTATATCATGAAAACATAAATGTTTAGACTAAATAGTTT